TTGTTCCACAAGAGGCTGCTGCACCCAAATAACTTTTCGTATTTTGGTATTAACACTATCACTGGTCTGTTAGATGGTTAAATGTTTTGCAAATGAAACAAATGCATAGTTTTGAGGGGAAATCTATTTCCCTAACTAACCATCCACATTCTGATCGTTATTCTTTCCATTTATCCATTCAAAGTCATCACTGGTATGTGCAGCATACACAAGGGTTCTGTCTCCCCCTCTTTTTCCACCCTGGCGCTCTGTTGTGATAGCTGCAGGGCAACAAACCCACCCACTGAACTCAATACTGAGTGAATGTGACTATAAATATGTTCGGCCGATCAAGTGTTGTGAAGGTGGAGCTCGGTATCCACACCCCACATCCTGAGAGCCAGCACAATCACCATGAGCCCTTTCTGGTTTGTTTTCCATTACAGACCTCCCCAAGGTTTGCTGTTCTGTGAAGTCTCACCGTCAAGGGTTCCACTCCTGTCTCAAAATGCCACATGAGTCAGCGAGAAGACTTTGAGATCACCGGCTTCTGTCTGGTACCTCCCAATGAACTACAAAGAACTAAGAAATAAGGAAAAACAAGATCAGAGAGGAGAAATTGCTCTCCTTTAAGCAAAGTTGGAAAAGAGCAGCAGGATATCTGGTATACTGCTGTAAAATGTGGGGTTTCTGTCAATGGGCTGCAAGTGGCCCTATTTTGCCTTGAAGTAGCTTACAGGTTTCAGTCGTGGGTTCAATAATGACTGGTCCAGCAGAGGAGCTCCTTCAGCAGAAGACTCCTCACACCCAGATGCACCACAGAGCCCCACAGGAAATCATTCCTGCCTGTGGTCATCAATCTCTACAACACCTTCCTCAGCGAGTCCCACCCTCTGTAATTCAGACTCAAAATTATTGACATCTATTCATTTGAAAATAATTTCCCTCTGGGATTATTAAAGTACTTTCTGATTCTGACCTCACCCAGAGCGAAAAAATACACTTATTTTTCTTCCCTTTACCCCTGTTACATGTTTTTGACAAATGGTTTCCATCAAAAGGCACAGCCATGGTGCTCCACAGCGCAGTGCCAGGAAGGGGACACAGAAAACAGCAATCCCAAACAGAAACGCTGTTTCCATGACACAACCAAACAAACTCAGTACAAGACAGCTGTCCAGTGCATTGCCCTTGTGGCTATTTATTAGTCACAATGACACAACAGGAGCCGCTGGTGAAAGAAAGAACGGCTTTTTTTCTAATGTTTTAAAGAGTCTGCTGGAATTGATATTAATTTCAGACTTCATGGCTCCCTTTTGGAACCTAGAATATAATCCTTCCTTTTGAATACCGTGCTTTCCTTTTTGTCTCCTTCCATGTCCTTATGAGGTTTCCATTATATGAGTGATTTTTTCCAGTTAGGTAGCTACTGCTTCTAGCCCCACTTGGATTCTCTCCATTCAGCAATTCAAAAGGCAATGTTGTTGTGCCAGGGTCATAAAGCACTGGTTTAAATTTCACAGCTGGAATCTGCAATATTTCTATAAACTCAGAGAGAGCAGATACGCTTGGGGGTCTTGACAGCCACTGATAGTATTTAGAGACTAATCCTATGTGTTGAATTATAAAATAGGGCAATGTTTTATCTATTTTTTAAATATCTTTTTTATTTACAAAATCCGCTGTATAAAACATATTTACATTTATAACATGTATAGAATTCCAACACATATGATAAATCAGTAGAAAGGATGTCCATTCTACATACCGTGAAGCATTTATAACTATCTTTTTTATGTGTTATTTTTGTTCAAGCATTTCTATCCACAGTTATAATGAATGAAGGAATATTTAAAATAGTGCTCTTTGAAGTTTCCCTGTACTTGTGAATTGGTTTTGGATTTGCCAGAGTTGTCATGGAAACCGGAGGTCTGCACATAACTCGCTTATGATGTCAGCTGGATGACGATATTCCCTGTGAAATTAAACCTTTAGCAGTCTGAGTTGTGTTTAAAAAAAATAATTAAAGATAATATAAAAAGCCCCAAGTCCACTTAAAAGTTTTAGATTACAGGTGTTCACACGTTTTACAATATGCTTGATGTGCCTCAGCCTCAGATTAGGTGAATAATTGAGCTGTACACCATGTTCATTTAAAGAAACACAGCTGCATGCTGGAGGTCAGCTAATGCAAGCCTGTGCATACACATGCTCCATCTCTCCGTCTGCTTTCTTTTTGGCACCTTTTAGTGTGTTTAACATCAGTGTGGTTGTCAGCACTTGTGGCCATTTGGTTTTGGATTGAGACCATGCAGTGGAACATGAAAACAAAGTGGCAGCTATGCAGTCACACCTGTGGCTGCTAAACTGCACTGGGCGGAGATGCAGGAGGACAGATTTAAGAGCTTCAAATCAAGTAAAAGGCTAATAAATTTGTCCCCACAAATGGATCATGGTAGATCAGATACTTACAGGGACAAGCGTTAGTGAGACTTAAAAGCAAGAGCGAGGAGTAAGATGTAAGATGGCTATATTACCTGAATATGTAATGCTCTTTGATAACACACGACACTTTGAAGTGTCTAGAACTGGATGGGAGGTGGCATTAAATTGCTGTGTCTCAGATCATTTAGCATGGCATGCCTTTAGGCATATTTGAAATAAAAAAAAAAAAAATTCAACATGCAGACGCCTGAGCTCCATGCTAACAGGGTAAAAGCAAGTATCCATAAACACTCAGGTGAATTCACTGTACTAACCCTTCTCATATTAATGTTTAACAATGCGCTAATAACATTTATCTTAAAATTTTCTTTCCACATATTCATCTGCTTTTGGAGGTGGAAATTACTGGTGTTATAAAGTAAAACAAGTGGTCCTACTCCTCTTCACAAAAAGAACATTTTGGAAAATCAATAGGAGTGAAACAGAGAATTTACCCTCAACAGTGCAAAAAACAAAAACACTTTCTTTCTATATTGGACAGTTCTTGTTATAGTGTAAACCTGTTGCTCAAATGAAGCCCAACCTGCACCCTGGCATGACATTGTGCTAAAAAAGCAGCTGCAGCCATCTGCCTTCCCCGTAGGGCAAACAACCACATCTACTGAATTTGTGGTATTAGTAATATAATCGCTATTTTTATTCTACAACATACATACTTTTCTTTTTCTTTTTGCTTTGTCTTCAATGAAGATCAAAGTGAAAATGGTCTCTAAAAGTAAAGGCTTTTGCTCTGACTTGGACTGGCCATTTGATGATAAATTAGCCATGTAACCATTACTTGCAGTGGAACTCAATTACCAGACTGGAGATTTCACAACACTGCAATATGTTTTGCCAAGTTCTACATGAGAGGAAAACCTAAACTTTAAGAGCGAGCAAATAGACAGTCAAGCTGATAGTGCCATTTTAAAAAAAAATTAAAAAGCCAGTGATTGGAATGTGACAGCACCCATAGATATGCTTGCTGAGGCATAGTTTTCGAGAAAAAAAAGGCAATGTGTTTTTATCTAAAGATGTCTCTTTATATTTTGCTGTCTCTAAACTTTCCCTCATGATAGAAAACGTGTTTCCAATCTTTTGCTTTTGTACTATGGTAAGATTATTGGTTTCATGTCAACCAAACTATCCAAAAAATCATCGCTTTATTTTCCTTTGTGTGATGTTTTGCTCTCTGGTCAACTCTCCAATTACAGTGCATGTTTTGACTTGGGAGTGGAGCGGAATTCCCCTGGACACATATTGTAGAGGTCACTATCAAAGTTCAGTTGGTTCAACTGAGCTTCCATTCTGTGAGGGAAATTAAGGTTTCCATTTGTGTTGTCACTTGTACAACTCGTTTATATATTAAATCAATCAGTAAAACAGTCTATATGTGTTTAATACATTAGAGACAAAAAGCAAAACATATAAAACCATACAAGAAACAGGTCTATGTACACAGTATAAAGTACCTCCATGTCACATGAACCTGACTTAAAATATCGTACTTGGCATGTGGACAAACAGCACACAGGTGGTGAGAGGAGGATACAAATGCTGCCAAAAAGCAGAGGATATTTACTTTTCTGTTGTTGTTCTTCGATTTTCTTTTCACTGCTTTTTCCTCTTTATCCAGCTGCTTTCTATTTTGTTTTGTGTTCATAAATTGTCGAATTCAGTCTTTTTCTCTCTACAAAATAAATCTGTGCTGCACTGCTTGAGTCTAAAAACCCCTGATGTTTGCAGAAACTGCTCTGGATATTTGGTTCTCCGGGTCTGGGCTGTTTGATCTGGGTCTCCTGCTCTTGGATGCAACACAAGTCCCACTGGTTTAAAAACATAAGCTGAAATAATTCTCATTCTCTATCCGGCCAGTAGATTTGACGTAAAAACAAATAAGCAAAGAGGATGTAGCGACCCCTCCCTGTCTCATGTAAATCATCATATGATAGTGTGTTTGGTGGCTCTTTGGCTGCATTGGAGCACATAACATTGACAACTTGCAGATATACTGCAAAGAGATATACTATTTTCTCTGTCATATATGGAGTTTCAATGATTTACATTTTACAAACAAACCTAGATTTCAGTGTAATTCGAAACTGACCTTAGCAACCAGTTTGCTTGAAATATTTATTGTGGCTTCTCTGTTTTCTTTTCTTTGTCCTAATTTCCCATTCCTGACATTTTTTACACTGTTTCCATTCTGCAACATTCTCCAACAGCTCCATAGTAATCATGCAGGCATGCAAAGGGAGTCAGTAACTTTGATGTGTTTTTAAAAATCAGACAAAACTCCTCAGTTCATTTCGTATCCATCACTAACTTCACTATCGTCAAACAGAAAGAGCTCACCGAGACTAAACACAGCTGCTGCTTTTGCACATGTGCAAACTTGATCAACAGTGACCTCAGGATTTTTCAGACATGAACACATTAGAGGCAAACCCAACCACAATGGCATCACAGCATGCGAGGAATAAAGCAAATAAGCAGCCTGTTATGGAACTCAGCCGCTCGCTTTTCGGGCACCAGTAGGACAGTCACCGGAGCAGACCGGTGGTGGTGGTGGTGGGGGGGGGGGGGTTTGGGAGACCACTGCAAGTGGGACTCCTTGGAAGGCTGGGCTGTAACCTGAAGCCGTGGAGCAGTGAGAGAGGGAGAAACTAAAGCAGAAGGACAGTGAGAGAGAAAGGGAGAAATGGAGGAAGGGGAGGGAAGGAATGAAGGGCAGAAAGAAGGTGATGTCAGCTGAGTTCACAAAGTAAACAGAAGTCCAGACTGCAGCATGCTGTCTTTGGGACGGAGATTCTGGCTGGGGCAAACCCATGGGGGCACCCGTACAACTCCATGGGCCGGCATCTTTATCTCTGGGGAGGGGGACCGACTCCTCTTAGTCTCCCTCCTTATTTTCATCTCTTTGCCCTTCGGGACAGCACTCCCTTACGGTAGGAGCACCACTTTGACTTTACTTCTACTGTACTTGTTTGTGCCCCTCTTCTTTGTTTGACAGAGTTTCACGGGCTCTTTGTTCTCAAAGAGCCGGCATCACCGCCCCTGCTACCTTCCTTCACTTTTTTATCAGTCAGCCACAGAGCCAGGCAGCTCTTGGAAAAGATGAGATGTAAAATCGATGCTTTCCAGAGACAGGAGAGAAGACTCCAGTTTGTGAAATCTTTGTCTTCTCCCTATTATGTAAAAGAGACCAATGTTTTGTCCCGTGAGGATCTGACTCTTTAGCATCTGTTTTTGTTTGGAAAGAGTAGTGTGACTGTATTTGTTTACTTCTGGAAAGAATAAAAAAGAAAACAACAATTGGATGTTGTCACGCATTCCATGGGGAGAGGTGAGGCACTTGGAGTGCAAATGAGGCTGTTGAAGCTTGGCACACGTTCCGTTTTTGTCTAAGAGCCCTCCTTTAAATACCCTAAGTGTGTTGTGAATGACTCTTAAGGAGGAAGATTGACTCTGCCTGTTTACTGCTTCCACTTGAACGCCTGGAAGACATGAGTCACGTTTGAGTCAATCACACTGGCTGCGGTAATGTGTAAACCATACACCGTATCCAAGATGCTCAGCCAAACCTCTGCCCCGTGTCTGATCCCTGCACACAGTAAAACAAAACAACTTCAATTTGCAAGACTGATGAATGTGATGAGGGGCTGGGTGGAGAATGGCTGTGTCAAGCCACAACGATTAAGACAATACCCTTTGGGACACTTACCTAATCATGTCATTGTCAGCTGAGTCACCCCCTGCATACCTTCATTCTAATCCACTTGACGACAGGAGTTCAACTAAGCAAGTTACGAAAGGGTTCCTTTTTAACCCGGAGCGTGTTCATAGGCTAATCCCATCTGCATAGGTTGTTTAGACATATGAATGGATGGATGTGCACGTTGTCCTGTCCCCACTGAAGCTTTTCGATTTGTGTAACACGTCCCATTTAGGATGTCCCTTTCTGTGACCCGTGCTGTTTGGACATCCTTACAGTGTGTTTAGCTAAAGCCTGCTCAGAAGTTCTATTTTTTTTCTTTCTTCTGAACAAAACTCCTGAGGTTTTAACAGTGGGAAACAAAAACATACAGTACGATTATGCAAGAGAAATGGTGAGAGGACATTATTGCAAGGAAGTTGAGGAACACTATGTAATTTTTCACCTCCCATGTTTTAAGGAGTGTTTCATGTCAGACTTGACAGAAGAGGATAAGTGCTTACAAAAAATCTCAGATTGTCTCATTTAGATAGTGGCTTTCTCCCACACATTTTACCACAGAGCATAACAGAGAGCTAAAATATATGATTTAATATGTGGTTTCGACTTTGAGGTAACACATTTAACGCAATCTAATGGCTGCCCGCTCACATTTGGATATGTTCAGACATATAATGACCACAGAGCCCCCCACGGGAGTTTCCTTTTTCCGTGATAGCTAAATCACTGACCTCATAATACCAGACAGCTGTTGTCAGTGGTATGCAGAAGGAGTCGAACACTCACAGTACATGCCCTTTGCCTGCACTTACAGCTGCCATAAGAAGATCAGTTTTTTCTAGAATTCATCAATGTGAAAACAGCTCAGTCCATCACAAGGAAACTGTTTATTTAGCTGTTGATGAACACTGACCTGGGAGGTTTTTTGCTCAGATGATACTTCGCTGCAAATGAAAAGGAAAGTATAGGTACTCAGACCACTCGCCAAAGGAGACCATGTTTTATACTTTGTTCCAAAGATTAACTCTGGGGACAGTCATTTCAGGTGCATCACCTGTACTGTAAAAAACATACATAAACACAAGGAGTGCCTTCAGTACCAAGTTTTAAAATGAAAAAGAAATTAAATGATAAATCAACTGAGTAAAGATAAATCATTATTAACTGTTAATTTTATCCATATGTATTATTTACACATGCCAAACGTATCCTTTAAATTTAACCATTGTTCTGCATGCATATTCTCAACCTTGCATTAGGTAAATATAAAAGCTATGATATCAAAGTAAATATTAAAACAATACCAGACTCAAGAAATAACCAAACATCTGGCCTGATGTCAGAGAGAATCATGCCCAACTTTGTCTTTTTTAACATTTAGATATCCAATTGAATGAAACCATTATCTTATAATTCACCTAAATAAAACACCTGAAATTGAGTATTATACTTAGCACAGTTTCAGAGGAGTTTGTGGAGGACTTTCTGGCAGAAAGTGATAGCACTGAGCGTTTTTTTTAGGCAGATGTGGCCTCTTGAGTTGCTTACAAGGTCAAAATGCAGCACCTGCTGCACATTTTGAATGCGTTGCAACCACCAAGCTTTATTTTTTGCACAGAACATAAAAAAGAAGTTGAGCAGTGACATCAAAGTATTTACCGTGGGTTAGTGGACCAACAGGGCAGCAAGGCCAAAGACAGGGTCGCGGGAGTCATGAGGGTTTTTACCTTTGGATATGGGAATCATTGAATTCACAAAGGAGACAAGGCATCTAAAAAGAAAGGCATGCAAAGTTTCCATATGTGGTGCCTCCATGGGCTTATCAACTTCATCTATAATTATTCTCTTTACTACAGCAGTCTTGGACTCAATTACAGGGGTCTCTGCATGATGGTGTAAATCATTCCTTACTTTTTTTCCCGGTGTTTGTTTATAAAATGCTTAGCAACAACAGTTTGCTGGAAAACAACATCTGTAGAGAATTCAAGAAAATCACCTTCCAGAGACATAAAGAAACATGGAAACTACCTATTTGCAGGCCAATGATTGTTCACACGTATGTTCACACCTGTTAAGACGTTTCCCAACTGCTGTTAAAATTCACATGAAATTGTTACAGTTCGGTCTGTAGTTACTTGCAGATGTTGAACATCTATTTTTGCAAAGTGGTAATTTGGCTTCTGAAATTGATGAATCTAGGTTATCAGGATCTAAATGAAAAAAAGAAAACATCTAGTTATGTAAGACTGAATAACGGCAAGTGCCCGAGATAGTAAACAGCAGGGCATAAAAATAAAGACGAATTCCAATATGTGTCCTACTCTGGGGGAGAAACCTCAGAGTAATGCTTCAGGGAGAACCATAACAGCCTTATCAACAGTGTCTGAGGTCAGCAAACTGAATCCAGTCAGAGTATAAACACTAAAAATGTGGTTGCTTGGGTTTATTTACCTCGAGTATAAGCGCACTCGGAAAACAGCTTATGGAAATTTGTAAGCTGATCTGTAAATAAGTCACTAGACTGTAAGCTGTTGTAGAAGAAGAAATTCCACACTGCCGTATGGAAAATCTGTATGTTATCTTCAACTATAAATTTGAGTCCTGCGGCACAAGTTAACTATGACCACAGGATTTGATTTCTATTTCAAGGTTCAAAACATGTCCACTTGATGGACTGGTGACCTGTCCTGGGTGTATCCCGCCTCTTGCACAGTGAAAATTTTGACGATTTCTTACCCCCCGTCGCCCTATTTGGTCGAGGCATTTATAAAAAATGCATGGCTGCAGCAAAACATCTAGCAGGGATCCATGTAATGACATTACCAGGCCAGCGCAAGTCTTTTATGTCTATGTCTTGTAAATCAGGTTTCATGGTCTCTCTGGCCTGCCTCCACAGGCACGATAGCAAAAACCTGCAACAGAAAAAGGGGATGGTGAGGTCACCACTCCCTGATCAACGCATGGCTGACATCACGCCTTCCAAATGCTGTTGATCAAGTAGTTAAAGTAGTCACAACGCATCCGATTAGAGAAAGAACAATAACACTTAGTTGTGTGTAATAAAAAGCTCATCACCATTTGGTCGAATTACTAGACACCACAAGCATCATGATGTAATCACGTTGAGGTGAACTCTAAAGGCTAACTCCTAAGATTTTTTCAAGGTACTCCCACATCAGGACATATCACATGGTAGAGCAAAATTTCATGAGGTTTTTGGAGACAATTTAGATGATTATTGCTCACAGTTCCTCTAGTGCCTGCTCATGGGCAGCATGATCAAGCCATCCAGGCGACATTAGCTGCTGCTTATTGCACAACACACCAGTTTCCAGTGTCTGTTCTTTTTATTTGGCACCAAAACTAATTTGTAGAGAATAAGATGAATTTCGCATACGCCATATTACAACATAAAGCTTTCACTTCAAGATACTATGCAAATGCATTGTTCCACTTAGCATATTACATCTAAGAAATAACTCATACACAAATACATGTTTTGTGCTTTCTTCTGTGTGTGTAAAATGTAGTCTTTCCACCATATTTCTGTTAGGAATTAATTTCAAGTATACTTAATCTGAAGTGACGTACTCTGTAAGAAAAAAAGGAGCAGCTAAAATGCTAAAGTTTCATAGCATATTTTTGTACTTATATATCTATTACATGATAATAATAATCAAGAAACTTTGCTCTCCCAAGGTGTCTTTTTTGGCATATTGATTTTTTGGCAGTTTGTGAATTACAGACACCAAACTTAATTGTGTGAATAAAACAAGAGTGGAAGATACCCAGTGCATTCCAACATGGCGCCAAGGGGTCCTAACAAAGCACCCACATGTGATGAGTTAGATGGGATGCAGGCGTTGCATAATTCCTCTCTTTGTCTTAAAGTCTCAAGACGCATCGCTCTGAACACACAGGACACGCACATGCCATAGATGTTTGTGGTTTTTACATTTGGTCAAAGGAAATCCACAAAAAGTCATCAGAACACAAACTGTGAGCACATCATATTTTATTAAAGTCATTGGATTGACTAAGAAAAATATACAAGAGCTATACAACTATAGAAGAACATCAGCTTTGTTTTGAGAAAAATTACACCAATTCTTACTCAAAGAGGTGTCCACAGGTGGTTAAAGAGACATTATGATTATTAGATAAAGGATGGTCACTCACAATGTTGTGTCATAGAGAGACCTCTTTTAACTGGCTCACGCATACAACCAAGTTTGCCAACATTAACCAAATATATTTCTATATATATATATGTATAACACCAGAATCATAACACATCCAGGCCCTGTAACTTGAAACAGAACAGCTGTCCTCAGACGACCTCCCTTAACATCACCCTGAAAGGATTACATAATCTACTCTCTGTCTGATTAATGTCAGTGTATGTGGAAGGAGTGACCGCTCAGAAGTCCAGAATAGCTGGACCGAGGTACAGTTCATTATTCAGTAATGTGGACGGCGGTCAGGAAAACTCACAACATTCCAGGACCTCTTCGTTTCTCTCTCGTCGACCATCTTCCTTTGAGAGATTTATCACCTGTCTGCTCTTGGCTTTGTGAGTCAGTTATTTTGCTTGTGTCTGTGTTTTTGACCTGCCGTCAGACAGATCACACGGAGAACAAATGAAGCCCACGTGGAACTGGGGCTTTATAGATAACATCCATGTTTGGTAGAGAAAACACTAATTCAGTTGCAGGACTGTGAGGACTTAGGAAATGCTGCGTTGACTTTGTGCCAAGTTTGGAGTGCCGTCTCTGTTAGTTCTCCATTCACATCTGCCACAAGAGAATTTTCTCTTGTCTGTTTTTCCTTTTAAATCCACTGTTACATAATTTATCCGCTGAGGCTCAAAAGACCTTTGAATCACTGGCATTTTCCAATTAAGAATCACATTCAAAAGGTAAAAACTTTTCAAAGAAGGCCAGTGTTCATGTCTGTATTCACATATCAATAAATGAGTCAGTTTTCCATGTCAGTCTCTTTACCATTCTGGCATGTTCTCTGATGTAATACCACACAGAGGGGGGGTAATTACAGAGTTTTGCCGTTCACTGTAACCATATGGTTGTGGAAATAACAAGCGGCAGTGCAGAGCTGCAATGAATAAACACAGATGACGATTTAATTCTTCTTCTGCTATTTCCCTGCACACTGCACCACACCTCTGCTTTAATTCTCCCACTCACAGTGTTTGATGTGTTTCCACCATGCTTGGTTTACCTGTACCTCTATATTTTTTCCCTCGTATGACATTTTGGCAAGTAACCATTGTTTTTCTTGTGTACGTGTCTGATGCACCGTCCTTTTTAGATTACAGGTACTTGTACAACCACTGTCCAGGTCCAGAGTGGAATGTAATGTGCAGAGGCTGCTGCGAGTATGACCTCATCCGCTGTAAGTGCCCCCTGCAGGGGACTCAGGTGGGCTACGCAGTACCCTGCTGCCGCAACGCCATCAACGAGTGTGATCCCTGTATTATCCATCCAGGTAACACCTCTCTCATTATTCATAGAATTACTGCTACATAGTGACGTCTCGGTTTAACTTTGCATTCATGGGATATTATCTTTACCTTGAAATAATGATTATGAAGTTTTATGCAAACTGAACATCAAACATGTGTTCGGCGGACTGAGTGCCAGTTGCACATCTGTTTGTCCTCAAGGCCATTCAATAATGCAGCTGTTAAAGGTCATGTATTTGTGATCTGATTTGTTTCCAGGACAACTTCCAGGTTGGTTCACTGTTTTGACTTACTCTTAAATTGGCAAGGCGCAAGCATAAATGATCATAAAAGTGAATTTGATTTGTGAATGAAATGGGAGAATGTCTTTGTATGCTAGTACGTGGAGAGCTGGCCACTATTTACAGAGAAAACAACCTGTTTGGGATTTTGCAACACAGGAGCAATTCAGACTTTCAAAACTTTTGGGCTTGACACATAATTTGCCCGTAAAAGAATGCCATGCTATTTTCACCAGTTAGATGTGCTCATAATCTCATTTATGAGGGAAAACAGCTGTTCAGACATAAATGGATACCTGTACGTTGTTTAAAAAAAAAACATTAAACACAAAAAATGCACCCCTACCAGTGTGTACACTCATAAATCTCCACGGGTATGTTGCCAGCCTTTTTATTTTCTTAAGAGTCATACCTGGACTTGGATCGCATGTCTGTTCTTTACCTCCCAATGGACAGGTCAGGCACTTAAGTAAAAGTCCATCCACGAAGGAAGTTATTTCAACACTTTTTGTCAACATGTCTATTTCAGGAGACACCAATATGTTTTTGTACTCTGATGTAGTGAGAGATGAGCCTAATGACTTTAACAGAGTTGATTCAAAGAAAAGAATTTGTGGAACCATAAGGTTCAGAATTGCAGCTCTTCTGATTAAATGTAGCCCTTTTTCCTACATACAATAACAATTCCTTTTTAAATGCTGCAGTTGTACAAAGGACATTCCGACTGACTGTATTTTTGCTTCTGTCTTTTTTTCTGCCTGTCAGGTTGCAGTATTTTTGAGAACTGTAAACGCTGCAACAATGGGACATGGGGCCCCAAGGATGACTTTTTTATCAATGGAAAATACTGCGCTGAGTGTCGTCCTGGCTGGTCTGGTGGCGATTGCATGAGTAAGTTATTTCATCAGTTCTTTCAACAAAAGGCTTTACTGTTAATTACATATTGTGCTAAAGTAAAGTGATTACAGCTTTCGTTGCCCATTGACTTATCTTGATCTGAAACCACTGTACAGCTCAGAAAAGTGTCATGAGCTATCCAGAAGGTTTCCTCTTGGAGCTGAGTGACATGTCAGCGTCAACAATCAGGAAAACTATAAAGCAAGTTTAATATGTATCATTTGACCACTCACTAGCTTTTAAGTGCATGTATCCTACCAAGGGGCACAACATGTACAACATGCCATTAATGACAACCAGATGCTGGTAAATTCTGCCAAATGCCTTCATAGCCTCTGTGCTGCCTTCAGGGCAGTTATTTACAATGTCACTGATACCGTGACATCAGACTAAAATGCAGTAATTTGTAGTGTGAATGGGAAATGACAATGTGGACTCTGACACAGGATGGATGTTACTGACAAATTTGCATGTCAAATTTCTTTAAAACACCTATAATTTGAAGGGAAATTGTTGTAGCGAAGTAAGTGAAAACCTGTATAATGCAAAAGTAGACACAACATAGCTTTTGATCCACCACTATCAAACATTGTTTAATACTTTTTTAAATAGCCTATTTGCTCTGTTTTGTGTGGGTCTTTGATTGGCTCTCCCATCAGTCCCTGTGAGATTTTCCACCACATCCCCCGGAAAAAATATCACAGAGAAATAGACAGATGACACATCGTCTGACAATGGCAGCAAATATTCTGGAGCACTGTGTGTTCACTTGCACAGAGGCGCTAAACGCGCACTGGCAAGAGCAACAGCTTCATTTTTCTAATCAGTGTTCATCAGTCGTTTTCCACTCATTCATTTGCATTATGGTTTAATTCTATGCAGAATTGATACCGACAGTTTGAGCTGCATCTGCTATGCTTTATGTTAAAACTAAATAAATATCCACTGCCTAATATATGAAACTTGCCACCCGCGTGTGCTTTTTAGTGAGAAATTCACTCTCATCCATTACCTCATATATCCAACTGTGAGAGCTGAAAATGTCCTGCTGTGAAGCACATATGTGAACAACAGCAAAAAAAAAACCTGGCCCGAGCCGTCTGCACATTCTCCTAAAAGTCGGATACACTCAGGTAGCTGTTTTATGAGATAGAATTTCTGTGTTTCTCAGAGTGTGGAGGAGTAATCCGTAAACGCCAGGGTCACTTGCTGCTGGAGAGCTACCCCAACAATGCCAGATGTGAGTGGACCATTCAGGTTGACACGCCATTCACTATAGATCTCAGGTAAGACTGCAAAAACTGGCCCCCATCTTTTGTGAACAAGGTATCAGTTGTATCTTCTCAGTCATTTCAATTAAAAGCAGCTTGATTTGCATTTGTGCAACAGATTAGATGGCTCCAGTTTGAAAAAAAGAAAAGTGTCTGCAGCCATATTGGTAATCCTGCGAGGCTTGGTAAGCACGGCAGTGTTTTAAATGAGCCTCATTATAACTTTAGCTCCACAGCATACCCACAGTTATAATGTCCACCATGTTTACTATGTATATGTTTGGACGTTGTTGTGCTTTCATGGGAACATCAGACTGCTGCTGCGAATGGCAGTAATGTAGCCTAAGTAGTCTGAAATAAAGTGGCATCAAGGCATTTACTTTAAAAGGTGTTCACCTTCAGTCCAGTCTAGATTTTTGTGCTAGCAGGCACAGTCTCTGCTCTACTGAGGCTAAAGGTTACATCTGAACTGCTTTTGTTTAGAAATAGTTATTGTGAATGAGAATCTAATTCAAAATAAAATTGTGTCTCTCGAAAGTTAAATCTAAATGCAGAAAGTTTGGGGCTATTTCATTTGACACTTTCATGAGCTGAAGCACAAGTCAACCATCTGTGAGAGCAATAAGCGATTGACCTCATTTAATCAGATTTTTTCGCATTTCTGCAAAATGTATTTTGCGGACTGATGGCCACTTTAGAGTAGAGTCAGAAAAACATCTCCTTTTTCAGAGAAGTTATTGCGTTTCTGTGACAACCTTCTGTTTCAGTGTTTTTCCTAATTATGCTTACTTTATATTTCAGGCAAGCATTTTTGCAGAGATCTGGCAGAACAAAAGGGCCATACAGCTAATTTTGGGCTTAGCACTCACTGTTTCCTGCTTAAAAATGACTTCAATCATTCTTTTCCAAGCACATATGAAGTTCTTCATTAAATTTTACAACCATGAGAACGGCATACATAAAATCCTGGGCCAAATTATTGTGTTAAGACAAATATCAGTATGTCATACTATAAATTCTAAATTTCCAACATTTGTCCAATAAAACTAACAAATATTATTGCACTGCTGTGCAGATAGACAGCCTAGTAAAATGTACACTGAAGTAAATGGAAAATAACTCACTGGATTTTTTTTTCTGTCTTTTTCTTCTTTTTCATGTGCTGCATGTGCTTCATGTGTTACATCATAGCCAACATATTTATTAAATGATAAGTGAATAAGTGGAACATTGATTTTCGTGAGATGCTGTAAGCTAAGATTTAGCACACCATAACTTTCATTAGTCTATTCTTCCTTTTTTAAAGAGTGACAAAAGGGGAATCTGCGTTTTCCGAAATATAAAATATACATATTGTAGTCCAGCTGGCAGTCCTCTAAAAGTGAAAAATGTCAAAACTTTCAAGCTTCGTCCTCATAACTTTGTAAGCAAGTTGCAGGAATCACTCCTGAGTTCTGGTGTAATGCTACCGCACAACACACATGTTCCCATAATTCAAACTCAACTACTTTAAGAAAAAGCTTCTTTTCTACCACTACTTTCTCTACTTACAGGTTTATGATGCTGAGTCTAGAATTTCATCATTCTTGTCGTTATGACTACGTGGAAGTCCGAGACGGCGACAGCATCAACTCTCGTGTTATTGGTCGATTCTGCGGGAGCAACAGACCTGCCCCTGTTCAGAGCTCTGGCAACAGCTTGCACATTCTCTTTGTGTCCGATGGTTACAAGAACTTTGATGGATTCTTTGCGACTTTCCAGGAGAACTCAGGTAGTAAAACCAGCTAAAGCGTCACAACCACTAATAAGATTGGGTATCTTTAACTGTTACCTCAGAATAGTAAATCTTAACCTCTACCATTGCGTTGAATAATTTTCTCTAAAGTTACAAGTGTATGTTGATTCTAGGAAAAAAGGACTTATTTGTATTATATGCAGTACATTAAAAGTCATGTTTAAAGTCATAATTAATGAACAAAGAAGCTCCTTGGACTCACGGGCAAACAAGAAAGAAGTTTCCATGGTGTTCAGCGTCCAGCACATAATAAAAAGCTTTTAATAGTGCACAACTGGCACCTTCATCTTACAGCAGGAACATTCGTCAAGGTGTTGAGCCTTCTATTAGTCCTATGAGAGAGATGTCTTCACTTTCCAAAAATGTCCTCATTTCCAAGGCCTATAACTGAGGAGTGCACACTCATAAGTCACCAGAAGCCAATCCAGAACTTGTATAAGCAAACTCGGGATTTTCAGTAAAAAAAAAAGACAAACATGCCCCCATGTATTTAGTGAAAATGAACAAATGACTTCACTTTTACTTGAGAATTCCTTGATGCAACCTGATGCTGGTACTTGATCGCTGTGTAATTCAGGTGTTGATAAAATCAGTGGTTCCACCGTTAACTGTCGTATGTGCATATTTACAGCTTGCAGCTCCTCCCCTTGCCTTCATGATGGGACCTGCATCCTGGACAGTTCTTATACTTACCACTGTGCCTGTTTGGCTGGTTACACTGGAAAAAGGTGTGAAAACGGTGCGTATGTAGAGAAGCTGAAGTCTTTCTGGTATAATCATTCAAGTAGGTAACTGACACATTAAAGTCTGAAAAAAGTATATATCAGCCTTACTTCTAAATGCTAAAATCCCATTTCCTAAAGCATTTGAAAGGCTGCACTCATGCCTGAAATACCAGAACTGTCTTTGTTGCTAAACATTTCTGAAGAATTAATTTTGTCTTTAAAGACTTCTTTTTTTTTTTCTTTCTTTTTTTCTCGCTGGTGTTGCCGCTGTGAGGCAGGCCATGATTCAGTGTCACAAGGGAGATGTTTGTGGTCTGGACTGAGTTCAGGCCAGCTGCCTTTCCCATCTGTGGTTTCAACGAAATATGAAATAAGTTTCAGCAGAAAAAATTGAAAATCCAAATGTTCACTTAAAACGTATGTTTGTATTTAAAGAGCCAGCGTTAAGAGCTAAAATTCATGTATTTGTACGGCTGTTGGGAGGCGAATGAGAGGTAAAAGAGGCACCCGGAGTAAAAATGTGCTGTTTTTATTCCTCAGTTGTATCATGTCAGCAAACCATTTTGGTTCCAGAAGGCACTTATTCTAAACCGCTGTAAATCTGTGTGGCCATTTAGCCATGTGTGGCGCTGCTTTCTTAGTGTGTGGTTATAGTCAGTGAACTGGAAGGTCTTTTTACTTATAGAGGCCTGGACCATAACTTGTGTTTTTTCTATGTCATACACCTCCCTTAAGATCCTGCAAAAACACATCTCCTGAGGTCCAGTAAATTCCATTCTACAAAACTAATGGTGAAACAGTTTTACTACAACAAAATTAACTACCTTTTCCACGTGAAGACATGCCCATTAGAAATGCAGCATAAATGCATTCCGGTCAGTGTGCAATTATCTGTATTAAAGGATTCTGTAGCTGTTAACTCTAATGAAACAGGTGCATTAACATTAATACCTCACAATTTTTTCTCTATCTGACACAGGTTAATCAATCAAGTCGTTTTGGATTTAACCCAACGTAGTTTCCAGAGAAAAAGACAAAAGGGATGATGTACGGGTTTAAGAATAGCATGCATTCCACCATAATGACCTCAGATTATTTTAATTTCATCTATGGACACAAGTGTTGCATTTAGAAATAGACCTCCTCGAAAAAGAACAGGGGATGACCATCATGCAGTTTGATCAGTGTTTATACATTTTTGAAAGAGGTCATCTTGCGGCTGCATGTTTTGGTTGACCACCAGCATTCTCCACCCAGTGAGGGACTGCAAGCTGAATATTCTGAGCCAAAAACACCAATATTATGGAGGTGCCTTGTTGCTACATTCCGTTGATATGCTCCCACCCAAATCAACAGAACAGAAAATATTCAGACTGTATTCAAGAAATATTGTGAATATTATCAGATTATTCATTCACAGTGTCTTGCGGGAGGTTTTATTTGGTATTGTGTGGAGCAGAACTCCACAAACACATAACCAATTTGTGCCACTCCACTTCATAAAATCCTCTTTTATAACAGTGGAAAACCGTTTGACTAAAACAGCTTTATTGCTTCTATTTCTTGGTCATTTACAAGCCCTTGTGTTAAAGTCTTGCTGTGAGCTCTTCACACTTTACTATGATGGGTGAAATTATTCGTTGATGAGCTTCTGTGGTAGCACACAACGCTTTTTATTTTAGAATGAGTAAAGTGGTAAAGCATTGTTTCATTCTAGACTTTGGTTTCCCCACTAACTGTTTGCAAATGCCAGACTGCAAAAGCGTTCTCTGAGGCTCTAATTATGTGGCCATTTCAAGCATGTGAGTGCAAAAAAATGAAAAAAGTTTTGAGGTAGGCTCAAGATGTCTCATAAAAAGCTCTTTCGCGCATAGTAATTGTGAACATCTGGCATTTGATGAATTGAGAGGAAAAGAAGACAGCATGTGTCCATTATTAAACTGTATGCATCTGTATTTCTATTCAGTGGTGGGATGCCACAGGCCTCCGGTGCCTACCCACGGGTCCACAGAGGGTCTGTTCCATCACTCAGGTGCACGCATCACTTTCCATTGTGATCCTGGGTTTGAGCTTCGAGGTTTCCGTACTGCCATCTGCCTGAGCGACGGCACCTGGAGTGCACCTGTGCCTGAGTGTGGTAAGATGAGAAAGTGCTATTGTCGTGCCTCTCAGATGATTACAGTGTAGGTGTTGGATGGTCTGATGTGTGCCGCTCGTTTTGTTTCTGTGAGAAATGATGGAAAAAGCCTGGCTTCCTTTCCCTGTCTCCAGTGCCAGTGGAAAGAATCTGCACTCTGCCGCCCAAGCCAACACATGGGAACCACGTATTGGTTTATGGACCCAATGATGTCCTCATTGCTCTCCAGTATTTCTGCTACCAACCCTATGAACTCAGCGGGGTGTCCCACAGAACTTGCCTTCAGAACAACACCTGGAGTGGCTCTCCTCCTGTTTGCACTAAAGGTCTGACAACTTGCCTGTAAACAATAGAGATTGCAGATACAATAGTTAAGCGTAGCTGTAGATATCAAATACAGTAAGCTGAATTTTGAATGGATTTCAAAGCTTATACTTCTGCATCATTGAGGTTGATCTTTTCTCTTATTTTCTAGTGAATAACACACTTACTGAAGCTGGAAAGGATCAAGAAAAGACAAAAAAGACAGGAATGGGAAAGGAAATGGATCTAAACAGTGACAAAGATGTCATCAAAACTAAAGAGAAAGATCAAGAAAACACAACCAAAGAAAATGAAAGTGGGGACACGGAAGATCTAAACTCGGGGCTGGAAAATACAACAGCGGTTGACAGAGAAGATAAATACACTGGGACCATTCCAGGGAAAACTTTTTCAGAGGGTGGTGAAGACACAGAGCTCGAAGAAAAACACACTGGGTCAGAGAAGTCCACCGAGGACACAAACGTTGATAGCAACAGCCCAGATAACAGTTTGAATTCAGTTGAAGAGAAAGAACCCGAGGCGACACAACCACCTGAGAAAAATAATGGTAGTTCAGATACAGACCTAGAGCAAGAAAATACTGACACCACCCAGATAACGGTGAGAAAAGACAAAGGACAAAGTGAGAAGGAAAAAAAAGAGGAGCAAGTGAATGGAAAAAAAACCCCAGAGAAAGTTGGCCCTAATGACACAAAGGTCAGGACAGTCATATCTGAAGGCGAGAACTCAGTGGAGATCTTTGAACTGGAAATGACACAAAACAGCACAGGTATGCAAGAGTCAAAGGAGACCACGAAGGAAAATAACACCGTAAGATCTCCATCACCAGGGAGGAAAATTATTCCCACACGAGTCAATGTGACGCAGCACACGCTGTACAGAGCAGTTGAGGACAAGCTGAAGCCAAAGGAAAAACCAGCTGCTGAGAAAGACGTGGCAGAGAAAACCAAAGAGTTGGAAAGAGTGAGGGAAGAGAAAGCAAAAGAAAAGGAAAGAGAAATCAACCAAAGCTTCACAGGTGAGGGACTCACGGAGAAAACCCTGAATTTAGATGTCCAGTTTCTCTCCATCCGCCAACCTATCTCCAATCTGTTTGCCATTTTAGGAAAAAGCTGCCCTCCCCTGCTTCGAATTTACAATGGCTACTACCAGGTGGTGCCAGGGCTGGAGCCCGAAACAGTGGAGTTCACATGTAACCATTCATACGCTCTCAATGGTGATAAGAGACGCACCTGCCAGGCAGACGGTACCTGGAGTGGCAAACAGCCTCTCTGCGTCAGAGGTACGGCCTTTTGGTTTATTTCCATAATTTTAGCTTAAGAGTTGAATGGACGCATCCATTTCATCAATGTTGGCAAACTGGTAAGAATATACAGGTGTGTGATGAGTTCTACTTTGAGAAAGAGGGATGTTTTAGCACACAGCACAACACAATCTGCATTTTTGTTAGCAAAAAGCAAAAGAGCTGTGGATTCCTCTCTTAATATTAAGCTTGTAAATTATGAAGGGATTTAAGTAAATGACTAATGCTCTTCCATGGTAAGTAAGGTTCTCTGGCGGCAAAATAATTGATCTAGAGCAGTGAATGTTAATTAGTCTCTAATGGATTTCAGTCTGGATGCTCTCTTGGCTCATGGCCAAGAGGCAAGTGAGAAAGATTTGTGAGAAAGAGCAACTTCCATGATAAATTAGATAAATTAGCAAAAGCCAAAGCGGCCTATATGCCATCAAATAGCCAAAAGGATTTTAGCAATTTAGAAATTGCAAGTAAGAGCCGTCTTAAGATCTTTTAAAAGCAATTTCATGACTCCGTTGCTCATGTAAAACCACAGCCAGCAACCAGTTGGTTTACATGACAACACAGTGGCTGATTTGCATCAGATGAATCTGCTGTTCCACTTCCAGTTACGAAATTATTGATAATTGTGTCTTGATATATACATGTATGTATGTTCATTTGCAGCATGCCGAGAGCCTAAAGTTTCAGAACTGGTTAAACAAAGAATCCTGCCTCCTCGGATACCATCCAGGTATGTTTTCAAACAAGATCCAACTACGCACATTCACATCAGAGCTATCTGCTGACTCTGGGATTTGCCCCTTCTTCTTCCCTCAGGAAGACACCTGTTGATAGGCTGTTCTCCGCTGCACTGGGCCTGCAGATGCAGTTAGATGCTCCCACTAAATCGCCTTCAGAGCTCTCCAGACTGCCCCAGGGCTTCCACAGTCTTTACACACAAATAGAGTACGAGTGTGCCTCTCAGTTCTACCACCACGCTGGCAGCCCTCGTCGCACCTGCCTGAAGACAGGGAAATGGAGTGGGCGTCATGTCTCCTGTTCCCCAGGTGAGGGCAGCAGAGGATTGCTACTTTTAACAAGACTAGAATTGGACATTTTAGCTGTGATGTATGCTTACATAAAAATAAATAAATCAATTTGAAAAATAAAATGTTTAAAATGAAAACGGTATTATGATAACAAAAAAAACTATGGGTACATCTAGTAGTTCTCACCCCTCTCTTTAGTAGAAGATAATGAGCTTCTTTTTTTACCATTTTGTCAGATTCAAGTGGGCCATGAAGTTCTTTATTTCCATAACATAAAATGGCTATTGACTTTTATGGGCATCAAGCATTCAAACATTAGGAAATTAAATTGAAAAAGTATGCCTCCAGGCTAAAATTAAATGTACTGTGTAGATTTTAGCAGCAACTCTTGTCATCATTAACAAGACCAACATAAAATATCAACAGAGAAAAATTTAGAGGATAGTATTTGAATATCTAAACTGAAGGTAAGTGCTTGTTGATAATTGATTTGTTGATTATGATCGATGATTGATTGATTATTGAAATCACAAACATGAAAATGGTCAAAGAGGCTGAAATGAAAAAACACCATTAAATCATCCAACAAAGAAAACCAGTAGTTAATATACAGAGGTAGAAAACTAGAAATGAAATGCAGATGAGATTAATGGAAATTAGGTATGACAGTGTGTGTGTGAAGCAAAAAGAACCGTGAGTAAAGAAATCCAAAAGAAAGGCAAACTTACAAACTCAGGTCAAAACATCTTCTTATGGTTGAGCGTGTGAAGACATCATGAAAAGATTACACACAATTTTTATGAACCGATAAGTACAGTTCCACTCTTTCAATACTAATAATTCAAAGGGGGGAGACTCTTTCTGTTCTTTATTGCTTCCTTGATAAAATTGGCATATTTCCCCTTGGACTAGAAGATTTGTTGGAACTCTCTAAAAACAGGCTTTTATTAAACGTCTGCCCTGATGTGAACCCGAGATGATGTTGGGTCTGTGAGCTCTCTTCTGCATACAAACAAAGCAAGCTGCAGTTAGTTGTGTGTTGTTATAGCTTCCTTCCAGCAAAAGCGGCACAGAAAATGCATTAACATTTTAAATGTCCACATTGAGAAAAGGGCGGCAGATTTTTTTCTTTCATTTGCAAAATAGAAATAATGATGATAATTATAATTAAAATTTCTATCCAAAATGTTGAAGATGTTACTGCAACACTGAAGTGTCAAAATTGAAAGAATAATCATACAACATAGACTGCATTTTGGACTAATCAGACACTGAGAATGTGTGCTTAATAATATGTTTTTTCTTTGTTTTCTTTGTTTCAACTTTGTTGGTCTGTTACTTTGTATTCCTGCAAAGCTTTCGAATGGCTGCAAATCAAGAACATCCTGCAGTTTTTACTTGTAAAAAAAGTTTGAGTGTAATTCAGTGTAATTTTTCCTGTGCTGTGTGTTTCCCTGCCCTCCCCGTCTTCATCATCATTGTCTCACCTCTAATCCTGTCACATCCTCTTTGGCAGTGTGTGGGAAGCATCCGACCTTTGACTCAGGGAGGCCGGAGGAGGCCCACTGGCCCTGGCTGGCAGCCATCTACCGCCGTTCCAGGAAGAATGCAGAGACCAAGGTGGGCAAGGCAGACAGCCAGGCAGGGTCTCTGAAGAAGAACGGCGGGGCAGGAACCGGCAACCTAAACCAGGCCTCTGACTGGCAGCTGGTCTGCAGCGGGGCTCTGGTCAACCAAAGGAGTCTGGTGGTCGCAGCTCACTGTGTGACAGAGCTGGGCAAGGTGTATCCTGTGGATACAGCTATGGTCAAGGTGGTGGTGGGGAAGCAATATCGTGATGACCACAGAGTAAATAAAGGCCTTCAACACTTGAGAGTAAGCATTTACATCTTCTTTTCTCACATTCTTAATGCCATCTTTTCTTTTTTTTTAATTGAATGGTTTTAAAAGTTTGAATCCTCCTCTTTCAGGTGGCCTCCATTATTGTTCATCCAAACTATGATCCTAATATTCTGGACTCTGACATTGCCGTGGTCAAGTTACACGACAAAGCACGGATTGGAGAAAAAGTCCTGCCGCTATGTCTGTCGGAGAGCCAGAAAGAAGATGGAGGAGCGGAGATCTCTGGCCAAGGGCTTGTGACAGGCTGGTCTCCGCTACCTGATCCCAGTTTAGGCCCAGATGAGAAGGCAAGAGTTGGGCTCGTTCATCTCACTGATATAGTTCCATGCGAGCAGCAGTACGCTCGCAACGGCGTCCCGGTCAGTGTTACAGACAATATGCTGTGCGCCAGTCAAAAGCCTGATTACAGACCCAATAACATATGTCCCTCTGACACTGGGGGAATCCTTGTCCTCCCTGCCGTCACCGAGAACCAGGTCAGCAATAATCCAAATACCCCTCACGTGCGAGGGGACGGCAGCGGGCTGTGGAGGCTTCTGGGACTGGTGAGCTTTGGCTATGACCAGGGAGAGTGTGATCCCGACCTCTACACGGTTTACACACGTGTAGCTAACTTCAAAGACTGGATTGAGGGCAATATGAAATAAAAATCTGCACCTTTTTCAGAGTGGCCATTCTTTCCTGCATCTTTTCCACGGGGGCATTCTTGAACAAAATACAGAAGCGACACTGGACAATGTAATGCTTTAACTGAAGGGGGTGCTAATGTATTAGATGTGCTGATCGATCAACCTTTTTTCAGAGGAATTCAGTGTTCAGGTTCCTCATCCTGAGGTTAAAGACTTGAAATGACCAGAAGACCATTCGTCGTGATGGTTTTAATTGTTTTGTACATATGTTTCAATGCTATGAATATATAATTTTTTATTATGCGAAACATGTACATAGTATGCTGAAAATGTTTCAATAAAAGAAAATACTGGCGTGGGAAACTTCATGATTTTTATTCTCTGTAGTGTAAAACCTGTAAAGTGAACAGTATAAATGTACTCTGCTGAATAAAAATACTGAGGAATGATTTTGACGTCATTTGAATGAAAACACTTTTGCATACAACACAGAGTGAAGCAATCTATCCAGGTCAATATCTGCCAGTGGGAAGCAAGTAAATTATTTTCTGAAAAATCCTACCATTTGTTTTTTTATCACAGAAAAGTGAGAGTAGTATCTAAAACTAAATGACACCAAACCTCTCATGAACCAATATCGGAGGAAAATACATTTAAAGTAAGACATTTTACTGTTTTACAAAGAAAATGGGCTCATCTTAAAATCAATGCCACACTTTTCCACTGTGTTATTCCTTTGTTCCTTAATAACAGCGCCTAAATATCCAGGAGCTCCTCAGCTGGCTCTATTTTATTCATACAATAACGGGTTGGATAATGTCAGCTGATAAATGATCTGGACTGCAGGCAGGTCAGTCCAGAACCTGAACTCCTCTGCAATCGAGCCCAGAATGTGGTTTTGTTCCTGAAGCATGCAATGCCTTCCCTTAAGATTCCATTTTCTAGAAAGGAGCATATGCTGCTTTATAACCTGTGAGTACCTTTTTAGAACAGATAGGGTGTTTTCAGATGTACTTGTAGCACTAATGCACCCTTATGCCGTGAGAAAAAAAGGCTTTTGATCCATGTGCTGATAACAAGCTGGAGGGGTTTTCATCACATTTCACATCCAAATAAATGTTTTGACTGAAAAAAAATCCACATTTAAATTCACAGATAAGAAGAAAACTGCATCTCCAGTACATGTGCACATAATGCCTTTTGTTTGCCTGATAAAGTTTTGACCTGTGTATGACAACGATTTCTGGAAGTTTTCCACATTTGTGAAATTAGGGTTGGAAATCTATTTCTTCTATCCTGGCCTTCCTTAATTATCCAGAATAGAGGGGGCACACTTTTGGTTTGAGGCTTACACTGACTGAGGAAAGAGAGAAACAAAATGTGCGAAAGGTGTTACTTTTATAAATATATAAATATGTACTTTGACAAGGTATTACAGCCGGCGAAATAAACGTTTTCACATTTGACTATTGTGTAGCATTGGGTTCCTTCTGTCTACCAGCTATCAAAGGAATTCTGTCTCTCCTTCACCCAATTTACAAAAGTTGAATAACAACTTGTCTGAGTCCTGTGTTTCCCGAAGGATAGTCCAATCCACTTGGAATGGGAGTCTGTCTGTTCACAGGCCCCAGTTAGCTCACAGGGCAACTTCAATAGAGAGACGGGTACCACTGGGCTAGGAACAGAGGTATAACCCAGGGGACAGCACAATGATGAGGAAATGCTACCATGAGAACATTGTTAACGCTAGAGAGGAAGAGGAGCAAAATACTTAACACCGGATAAAATGTTTAGGTTTCTGTCCAGTTTTCCCAGTTAGGGTGCCAGTGAGGGTTAAATAAGAGAGCCATTCAAATGAATGCACTTTTTCTCATGGTGTCCTACCATGTCACTGATATCACTGAGATGGTAATGTGTTTCCCTGGGTTTTTTGGCCTTGATCCCCTCTATTTTCCCACACATTATATGATAAATTTTGTCTTCTGTAACATCATAAATATTTAATAATTCTGGCCTCAGAACCATTCAGTCAGGATTTTTTTTACAGGATGCTTAATACAGTTTACTAAACATAAGTGTGTAAAGTGTTCTTGTACATTCACACATTGTATTTAGTTTATTACCAATCATAGCTATAAATAAGCACACTATCAATCATATGCCTCATAAGCACCGCATACACAGGTTTTAACACTAATGGCAATTGTTTTGGCACTTATACATTCATATGTGCCTTTTCCCCTTAGTTGTACAGCCTAGAGTAACATTATGAATTTGCGTGATTATTTTTCTCTCACAGCCCGCAGAAAAATGTCAGAGCTGCAGCTGAGCGGAGAAGATGGAGAAGATGGGACAGAGAGGACCTGTCTGGAAAAAAATAATCTTTGAACACATTTGAAGTGATTCCTGTTTTTTTATATGCTCTCAACACAGTTGATTGATGTTTAAGGGCAACGTCCTTGTTATTGTGGGGCAACTTGTGGCTGCAAGTGTTGCTTTATTCCCCAAAGAATTGAACAATTCCATCATCTCAAAGTATGAAGAATAATCAAAGGTTAGAATAAAACATTCTCAAATCTCAAATGGATCTCTGCTGAAGCTATTTGATACAAAATGGAAAGGAATGGTGTCAATAGCCAACTGGGTTCACTACTGCTTTGTGAACACATACCATGTAGATTGTATTTTTGGGCAAGCTGGAACTTATCTGATGACACATCCAACTGTACTGATAAAAGTCAGGTTGTACTTTAATTAAAAAGGGTCTAAGTTTTCTAAAAAAACAACTCCTTTCAAAAAGAGCTGATAGTTTATGCCAGCAATTGAACTTGCCAGCAATTTCTGCCTTCTTTATCAGCAAAATCACACCATGAATTTGTCACTTGGAAAGTGCACCAGGTTTAGCAGCCATTTCAGAATGAGTCATAACATGTTCCCACTGACTCTCCTCTCCCACTAAAGAAAAAAAGACGTGCTGTCATTTGTATCTGCAGCAAACAGCTAAAGGCCAGCTTTGATAAGGAAGCGACAAACACATGACGCATGATCTGCTTCTTTATTTTTTCTCTGATGATGGACGTTTATGTTTAATGGAGCGAGCTCATGTTTTTCCGGCCAGCTTTTTTCACTTGTATGAATCATTATTATCATTACTAGAATTATCTTTTCAATTCAGTCTGGCTGTTCAAGCTATTCAGACCTGCCTCTCAAAACATTTAGTTCCTACCCACTAAAAACAGCCATACACAGTTTTAGATTAGCTTCCATTTTAGCTCAAACCTATTTTTTCTCAGAGATGAACGACATTAACAAAAGCAGCTATTAATCTTGAGATCTGTGCTAAAGCACACAGGCTGAAACTGTTCAAATACACAAATAGATTAAGTGCAGCAAAACAGAAACTACTCATCAATTTTCTAATGTTTGTCACTTTAACTTTTCAAGATTTGAAAGCAGATACTTGCCGTACTTTAAACATGATCTCCTCTGTTGTCCTGAATGTGAGCTAAAAATTAAGACAAAATACAGCAAAAGGCTCTATTCCAAACCTCATCGTGTTCAGCTGTATATAAAGTAATTAGAAATGAAGTGGCACCTGCAAGCTAATTCAGGCAGCTAATATCAGAAGCACTCCATCAAGATCTTCCTTTGATGTCTTCTGTCCTCGGGGGCTCCTCTCTGGGCTTTTTAATCACCTGGGCCATTCATGCTCATTCTGATCCTGCACACACTTCAGTGACCCATGAAAGCCTTGCTGGCCCGCTCACTATTTTTCAGTATCTCACAACATCTAAGAGTCTGGGGCTGACCAGTTTAATATTCTTTTCATTACCGCAGAGAGAGCTTTCCCTTTCACGGCTTGTTATCTGATTTGTTTACATCCAAGCTTTAACATGTGAATCCATCTGAGAGCCATTTTATTGTTTCTACATCACCACAATGAATGCTTATTACTTTGTACTCACTTATTCCTTCTCCAAGGTGCTGCAAAGACTGCAAATGGAATCATTTAAGATTAATTGGAGACGTTCGCACAAATGCCATATGAAAACTTGAGGCATGCTTTGATACATACAGAATAACTCAACCAGGACTGGCAGTTGAGACTAAACCATGAACGCAAATGAATGACATCAAGTCACGTTTGCTACACGGAAATACCAGCTTCATTGAAAAGACATGTTCTGCACTTACCCACACAGTGGAGTCATCATCTGGCAGCAGCAGTTGTGGAGATGTGCTTCACCAACTCCTCATCCAACCATATCTGCCTTAACATCTGAGTGTTCCTTTCTCATGATTTAATGACAGTTAGCAGCAGATGTTGCTCTTGAAAAAAATAGAGGGAATTAGTGACATCTTCACTAATTCATTTGTTTTTTCAAATAAAAACCAATGCATGTTTCTCTGGATTTTAGAGCTCTGAACAACCGTGTCTTTATTCAAGAGCATTGCTTCTACAAAATCTCTCATGCTTCCCCATAATGGCACTGCCGACAGCACCGTTATGTGAAACAGTTGGAGATGCATTTGTGTCTGGAGTAAAACATCAGATATGCAACAAAAGACATAAGATTTTGTTTTCATTTGAATAAATTAATGGAATAACTGGGTGGGAGATTATTTTTAACCAGAATGCATACATTCAGAAAAAAAACGCCCATGGGTTGTTGAGGGGGAGACTTATTGTTCAGACATACATGGAAATGTGACTATTAGCCATGAAAGGGGGATGTCGATTATACAAGTAAATACTCACTAAATAGACTGATTCCTGCAACGTCTCAAAATACCCAAGACGGGTCACACTGTGCAGATACACGTAAAACAGAATAAGGAATACAGCTGTATGCTGTGATTACATGTGAAGGGGGAAGGGAGAGAATGGCTCGGAGCGCACCACCTCATCTGTCAAACATGATGGGAGCTCTTTTATAGCCAGGAGGGTAAATGGCAACCAATGAAAGCGTTGGCATTTATTGATGATTTCAGAGCTGATGAGAATCGGTAATGAGGTTGAAAGCAATGCAGAGGTGAGCGGCAGCTTTGTATGAGCTCTTAGTCAAAAGAAAACAAACAGCTTTCGACTCCATAGCAGTGGACACTTGGTTAGTCGTTGGGTGAATCATGGTCTGGAATCAAAGGCACAGAAACCCCACAACAGTTTAGAGCTGGATGGGATAAAAGGCTTGCGGGATTTATGGTGTATTAAAATGTATGTACACTTTTGTTTTGCATACGCATAGAGCGATGAACAAATGAGGCATCCTTTTGAAATCTGACTGGAAGCAGAGATACATCCATCCGTCATACCTACTTAATCCAATTCAAGGCCAATGGGCTAGTGGCAGAGATGTCAGCATTTATTGCTGTTTTTACCTGCATCTATTGCTGTAAACTTTGCTGCACACTGAATTCCATCATGACTCTAAAAGTTCAGTTGT